TTATTAAGCATGATTATAAATGTGTTACCCATCTTCTTCATCTGATACCTTTACGCTCTCTGCAGCTCAAGATTCACTGTCTATAATTCTACGTCAGATCTTTCCTCCCAGTATCTCTCACCCAAAGCCACTTCTCCGGCTAAATGTGCTCAGCATGAGGCTCCACTCGCTCAAGCTATTTAGGAGAGATTTATAATTTTCTTCTCCCAGCCCACGGGGAAGGTTGCATATTATCAAAAATAACCCAAGAGGGAAGCGTTTAGCTCCTTACTTATAGACTTTTAATATCGTTTGCGATGCTGGGTTCAATGGTGCGTAGCTCCATTAGTGCCTTTGTGTCTCAGAGATTTTGGGAATCGCAAAAGTTTTTCCTGTACTTAACTGAACTTAAAGAAGTCATGTGCTTTACAGTTATAATGACACCTGGATTATTGTCTTGCCAACTTAACATATTCAATATAATTATTTAAAGAATAGTGTGTAGTTTATGCTCTTCATGGTTCATAATTTCTTGTAGAGCATGTTTCAGAGATCAAACCAGCTGGATTTGCACCAAAAAAAATTTGGAAAACAGATTTCCAATATTTTTTTCTTACCTGTATTTATTCATAATTCCAATGTCTCTTTCTGCTTTCTGAGTGTATAATCTAAATCGGACGTAGAGCGGCTGAATGCTCTGGAACACCCTCGCAACCCAGTCATGGATGTAGTTGAAGAAAATAGATGTACATATTTTTAAAACCATCACCATTAACATATTCATCATAGAAAGGTTATTATGATTTGTACGAGAAAGCAAGAATGACTGTGCAAGCTCAGAGAATTTTCAACACCTGTCACTGATAAAAGACAGGTGCTCATCAGGGATGCAGCAGGAGGACACAAAGCTGTAAGGCAAAGGTAGAAGCCCTTTGCTGATAACAACAGGGATACAAGGCCAGCCAGGTATATTTGTCCTAATCTATCATTCTTACAAGTTTGCCTTTTGCCTGGCTATACAGATGTTGGTAATGTAATGCATTACATTAGGTTAAGTTTATATTTGGGTCATTCACTGCTGATGTTCAGAATTTTTTGTTCAGTTTTCATGTAGTTTCAGTTTCACGCCTGGTGGAGGCGTGATTTGGAGGCTCCGTGAAAACAAACAACTGAGCATGCGCGCCGCTACGAGCATCAGCGCAGATGATTGACAGCCCTTGGCATCACTTGATTGGTTAACGTGGACGGCATCATGAATTCTGAGCTATAGCTAAGAGAAGGGAAGGCGGTACTTACCCGTAATAATAGAATTAATAAAATGAATTATTTTATATCATCATTTAAGGTCAATTTAATACAATTCTTAATTTTTTTTATTAGTTTAGAGTTCCAGATTATCACTTTAAAGGAAGCAACCAATTGTACAACTTAGCCAGGTAATCTAAATGCATTCTTCGAAAGATGTAGTAACTTTTAAAGTATTTTAATACGTCTTTTATTTGACACCAAATCCCAAAGTGCTACAGATTTGAAATATACAATGATACAGAGAAAGTTACTGACATTAGCATTTGTATATCCTGTCAAAGTTCCTGTTGGAGCGTGGGCGTACTGATAGCTCTTCAGACCTTGCATATAGATTGAAGTGATTGTAGAAAATGTTTACTTCTCAGGGCATTAAGCCAGCCCAAAAAATACCGAAAGCTAAAGATATAGATAAAAAAGACAGAGTTTACCGGCTGACAGAGTGGCAGGAATACAATAATGCATGCAAGGTCTATACTCCACACAAACCGTCCAACAACTCACTCTTATAGAAAGTCACAGCAACTTGAATTCCCAGCCCCCAGTACATCTCAACAACATATTCATAAACTGTTGGGAAAATGGATTTGTCCCTGTGCTCTAATGGTTGCATTTTGCTGTGTATATCTTCTTCGTAGCAGAACTTCACCAATGGACCCGGAGGGATAATATCAATTTGAGCAAAAATGTGTGTAGCTAATACCAGGCTGTTCCTGTCAGGGTAATGATGAGGCCAAAGTCTCTCTACCCTGGAAATTGCAGGTAGCAGTTTTCTAACACCATGTCATATGTGTCTGCACAGTCATCATTGTGGAGAGAGCGAGTGCTCAAGTTCACCAAAAGGTTAAGACTCGAAGCTGTTTTTACCATTACAATATCAGTTTTGTGAAATTATTCTAATGTGTGATATCCATCCATCCATCCATCCATTTTCTTCTGCTTTATCCGTTGCCGGGTCGCCGGGGCAGCAGTCTAAGCAGAGACGCCCAGACTTCCCTATCCACACACACTTCCTCCAGCTCGTCCGGGGGGACCCCAAGGCGTTCCCAGGCCAGCTGAGAGACATAGTCCCTCCAGCGTGTCCTAGGTCTTACCCAACACAGATCAGAGAATCAACAATTAAAACACAGAAAGAACATAGAACACATGTTAAAAAAAAAATTGATACATGCTGTAGAATTTTAAAGTGTCCTGGATCATCACCACAGTCCTAGTTGGACACTAACTGTCCAACAGACCCTCCTGCATCGGCAAGGAAAAACAAAACAAAAACCAGTGGAAAAAAGTGAGAAACCTTGGGGAGACCCACAAGTTGAGGAAGGGATCCGCTCCCACGGACGGACGGGCTGTAGATCCAGGACCTAAGCTACAGAATGTGGACCAGCGGCCGTTGAACGTGGACAGGTCCGATGCAGGACTGAAGCGCTCCCAGACAGGTCGGGCAGGGCAGTCCGAACGTGTAGATGGAGGAAGCCAGGTCCAGAGGTCCCGTCATCACAAAGCAAATCAAAGTGCTTGATAAAACAAGAAAATTGAAATATTGAAAAGCACACAAGGCAAACTTGTACACAAGCAGAGCTACTTTAAAGTCTCTCCTCTGACTGCAGAGACCTGAGAAGTGAGTTAGTCAACTTTTCCACTTCAAACTGAAGCCAGTGAAGTGAATGATCAGTGAGAAAATATAGCACCGACCCATCTAAAAAACAAGCCTGAAACTTTGGACAGCACTTCCCACCATGTTCATTTGACTCGAGCTCATCATTTTTAATACAAATCTGAAGTACTTTTTTCATGATTACCTTCAAAGCTTGCAATCAGCTAAACAAACCCCCTCATCACTGTCTTCATAAAATTCACCAAAGCACTAATAAGTGAACAGCAAGACATGATTCATTTTGGAGTTATTTTAATGAAGCCTGATGGGAACTGGCTGACAACCCGCTGCTCTGACCAATCATTCAAACCTGGAATTAAATATGCACATATCCTTATATGGCCTCCACTCAGTACCCTTTCCCACTTGCTATTCAAAGAGAACTGCAGTCATACGGGATCCTTAAATCTGTAAAGTCGTACTCATATTGAACAATCTGTGGACAAGATGGTACAAACAAAACAAACCTAGTCAACCCGATACCTCACACCGCTAGCACCGGGGACATAGATAATAAGTTGCATGTATTTAGGAGGATGTTTGTACCAATTAAAAATGTAGTGTGTATGAAAATATTTGGTGTTTATGACTACTTCACTGTCAGCACCAATAATGCGTCCCCTTTTGCTCGCTCAGTGGATCGCAAAGTTGGCGTATGCAGCTTGTTAGCAGCTAATGCCAGTTCTTTGTCATTTCAATTAAGAATAAAAGAGCTGCAAATGCGAAAAAACAGCTGTGGGGATCATTGAGAAGATGTGAAAATAACACTAGGTAAAAAACAGGAAAGGACCCTCAGTCCCTTCAGTATTGGTTGTCCTTTATAACAGCAAAGTATCGAGAGCTGTATGGAACATGAAATACTAGTTTGCTTGGCGCATATCTAACTAAACAAAATTTGCAAGTAGGAACCCTAGATTATAAGTAACTTCAGATTGCAGAAGTAGAATTGGTTTGGATTTTGAAATCAACTAACCTTTTAGTATTTGAGAGGGTATAAGAGCAACATTTAATGGTGCATTCAGACCGCAAACGCTCAAACGCTGAAGCCCCGCTCACCAGACGCGCATTCTCTAGTTTTCAGACGCAAAGGACTTCACACCAGAACGTTCAGACGCGAGCCGGAAGTACCGGAAGTATCTGGCCGGCTCTGATGCTAACAGAGCTATGCTAGCGGCTTCTTATGTACAGATCTTCTCCAATATGCAGCTTTGCAGCGTGTCTTTGAACAGAGACTTTCCACAGGCTTTATATAACAGTAGTATGTGTTCACGGAGGTGCGCCATACGTGTTTTCATATTATTAAACGGTATTTCCGCATCGGTGAACACACTCGAAGCAGTTGCATAAGGTCACGGGAGCATGACAAAGCATATTTTCACAAGCACAGAGTCCCCCATTGTCAACCCTGGTTTGAGTTCTGGTGAAGCCTGGTGTGGGTCCTGTTTTGGGTTAGGGTTAGGGAGTATTTTCAGTCTGCTCGCTCAGTCCGCTAATGTCCCTGTGACTACTTTGCGGCTCTCTGATTGGTTGTCGCACGAACGTCCCAAGGAAAGGATGAGCAGAATCCATCTCCTGTGGGCGTCGATTTTTTGCTCCTGCTCCTCCCCTTTGACATTCCCGCCAAGTCCATGCGTGTCTACTGAACGGTCCGTGAGTGCGTGCCGAGAGGTCCGTGCGTTGTGACGCTGCAACGCGCGTCACCATAGACTCTGCATTGAAACCCGACGCAACGCATGATCCGGTCTGAACCCGCCATAAGGGCACAGCCATCAGCGACCCTTCTTCATGCCATGCTTAATCCTTACACACCAAGAGATGTAAACATTTGGCTGCAAACTACAATTCGTCATCTCAAAATCCCAAATTCCCAAGACCACATAATGTATATAAAGACTGGGCATGAACACAATGTAGATTATAGTTTCCGTCGCAGATTAAAGAGTACAGCATGCACAGTTCTGCAGCTCAATTCCGGTCGTCTGCCTTTCTCCCCCATTGCCAGTGAAATGATAAGAAAAATTGATATAACACATCCAAGGTTTAAAAGGGAAGGCCAGGTGCAATGATTGGTGCCACCAGCAGCAGTGTCCCCGCGGCAGCTGCGGCTCAGATGGACCTGGGAGATTGGTGTGAGGCCGGGAGGGTTCGGACTCAACACGGGGAGAAAAATAAATCTGACACAGAGGGAGAAGGATCACAAAAGCCCTACGCTGAAACCCGGCTTATCACAGAACAATCAAAACTTAGATTGTGTTTGGGGATAAATTCTCCATGTGAGTCTGCTGTCATGGTGACGGATATCCCTGACCACGAGGGACAGGCAAAAATGGCCGCCACAGGGTTAATTTCCTGTCCACGGCGATGAAGAAACCTGCGCAGATTCTGTTATTGTTGGGCTTTGATTGTCAGTGGAGAATGTTTATGGCTGTGTTATAGATGTCTCTGGGTGATGCATTGAAAATAACGGCTAAAAAAGTAGGCAGAAGCAGATGGATTTGTATTTGTGGTTAGCGGGGACAGGCACGTAAAATGATAAATGGTCCTTTCAAAAGAGATATGCAAACAAAGCACAATGTAAGCACAATGTTCCAGGGCTTATTAGAATATGAAAGGTGTATTTATTTCAATATGCATTGCAAGTGGAAATGCTCAGGGTAAGCTATTCTATCTGAGAGTGGAGAACAGGGGACAAACATCTGACTTGAGGTGACAACACTGCAATTTTTACTTTTCTAACACAGAATGAACTTGAAAAATGCATAATTGAAGACCAATTGTGAGACATTTGCAGTTAGTTAGACTGGAGCTCTATGAAACAGCGTTTAATAATATAATGTTATTTATAATTTACGTTAGTTTGGACCCTTAAACGTGATCTTGTGAATATGTTATGGCATTTCATCCATTGTCTCTCTCTGGTCTCTCTCTTTGGTCTCACTCTGGTCTGTCTCTTTGGTCTCACTCTGGTCTCTCTCTTTGGTCTCACTCTGGTCTCTCTCTGGTCCCATGATCTCTTGCTATCTCTCTGATCTTCTCCTCTGGTCTCTCTCTTTTCTGGTATATCTCTAGTCTAACTACTGTGAAATAATTTAGGTAGAAAATATATATTTACACCAGAATATGAAATGGTCAGGATGAAGAAAACCTGTCCATCCAGTGGTGAAAGTATTGAGCATTTTAATTGTGTTTACATAATCTACCTTGGCTTTACAATAGAAGGTTATATGTAATTTATACGGACTGACCAAGATGTCAAACTTTATGACATTTTTTTTTTCATGGGGATTTGTCCAGAGAAATTACAGAGAAATTAACTTTTTCAGGAGCCCTCCCCCACAATGTTAAAGTATAGGCTCATAGGAATGTTGTGAGCTTACTTATGTTTTAATAGTCATAAAACGGCTCACTGCGGAGGACGTGCCGTTTCGTAGCAAATATGAAAACAGAGCTTATAGCCCGAATGGGAGGGGGAACAATGTTGTAGCATGCTTAAAAGCTCAAAGTGGACTAGTATGCATGATGTCTCCTTCTAAATCCCCAATAAACATTGCGGCTTTGTCTCCGTTGATCTCGACAGCACAGGGATGAGCAGACTTCCATTAGCCTGGTCCCACTGCAACATAAAACCCAAACTAAATCTCCTAAAGTCTGTGCGCATGCTGCTGCCTCAATCATCCGTCTTTTCAAATAAAATATAATGCACAAAATGGCCGACGGATGATGGAGATTGATTGAAAAGAAACATGAGCGGTAATCAATATGGTTTTGTGTGCAGCCGAGCATCAGCAGCCCCCCCCCCACCGGCAGACCCCCCACCGCCGTGAACTCCAGGCTGGAGCTGGCCGCCATCAGCCCGCCTTGTGTAATTTATGATGAAAGTGTCATTCTCAGAGATACACCACGGATGAGGGAGTCCAGCTCGCGAGGAAAATAAGGCCTTTTTGTCCCCGCACAGGAAAATAGGGGTTGCCTCCATAATGTTCAATACCTCATGAGAAGATTGATCGATTTACGCTTGTGCCATCCAACTTTGATGAGTTTCAGTGGCTGTGATGAATGGGATAAATTACAGCTTTATCTCTTCCTTTACTTTTTGTCATAAGCATTTTACAGATACAAAGTTCGTATCAAGTTTGTAAAGTTTCTTTGTAGAAGGATTGATTGAGGCTGTAATGTTTGCTTGCTTCTTTATTATGCTAAAATTAGAGATTGAATTTAAGGTATTTTTTTTTATTTTTGAATAGAGTTATTTAGGTTCTGTGCTTCTCATTCCTGCTGTCCAGTAACCGGTGATGCAACTGTGCTGTGGCAATTGTTGAGAGTGTCTTGCCACTGTAAGCAGCCTGGGCTATAGCTTTAGCTTGACGTGTGCTCTTGAAAAAATAAACAGATTGAATGTCCAAACTTACGGAATAACAATGAAATTATTTCATGGATCCAAATGAACAGTTTCAATTCCACATCCAATGCAGTTTTCCACAAAAAAAGCACAGTCAAAAAACTGTTGGGCCTAAACCCAGGTCAGCTTCCACATTACACTCACGGGTTCCCCCTACTGTCATTAAAAGGAACTGCACTTTACCTGGCCCCACCCAAACACACACAAAATAAAGCATAGGGGCCTACTGCCTACCAAAACAAAATTATTAACTTTATTAACATTTCCTTGATGGGAAATAAAGCAGCCTTTACAAACAGTGAAACGTCCTCACAGCAGGACAAATAAAGGATCTCAATCTTTTAAAACATTTGCAGTGACAGAGTACACTGCAAAAAGTGATCAAGCAAATCCATCTTGTTTTAAAAAGATACAAATACAAATGTCTCAATTGGAATGAGAAAAAAAGGCAACCGGTCCCATTGGCAAATCTTGCATTAAGAAATTCAGAATGTACTCAAAAAACACTTGATTCAAGCAATTAATAATTCACATTTTATCATTTTTTTGCGGTGTACAAGGCAATTTGATGACTTGAAAAGTAGAGTATGGCCTTTAAAACACAAAAAATCTTCTTTGAAATACAACTAATTATATAGTCACTGGTTGTCACGTCTTACCACTTGTTATTCTGACCTTTTCCAAGATTTCCTATGTCGTTCACCTTTTTTGCGGTTAACTCAAGACAAAAGCTTCACATATCTGACCCCAATGTGTCTGCTACAGCCGGCAGTGTGCTGGCTGGGCTCGCTATCAAAAACGTTTTATTTCTTCTTTTGGGCAGGACATAAAAGTATAGTGTGAATGCTTATAGCAAACCCAGGCAGCCCAGAGGAAACCGGATCAATAATGGATATATATGGCAGGTCATAGCTCAGAGCAGGCCGCTGGGGGGTTGAGGTGCCTCCAAATCCTCACATAGTTTTCAAAGTCAAACTACAAGATACTGTTTAGTGCCAAGTTGGGGATGGAAAGGTTTGGGGCTGGTTCAAAGAATGGCTTTAAATTATTCTAGATCACTGTTGAATGATAGATCAACTGTTTTCCATGTTTTGAGATGAAGAGATCCGTTATTTGTCCCACAGTGGGGAAATGTTAGTGTTGCATCATCAGTTACAGAACAGTAGGAAAGAGGAGCACAACTCTATACTAAATAAAGCATGAAGTGTAAAATCTCTACCTTTGGCATAATAAGAAGCAAGTATAACTTAGAGCAGTGTCTCCCAAAGTGGGGTCCGCGAGGGTATTGCAGGGGGGCCGGGAGAGGTCATCACACATTTTTTTACATGTTTGTAGCAGATGATACTTCCCCCAAATAAAATAACGAAGAGCCTATTTTTAATGTTGTCTTCTTGGTTATTATTTCGGGAGGCCGCGCAGACCCGGCAGATTATTTTTTTGTTACTGACTTTGGGAATGGCTGACTTAGAGCAACACTGGACACATGTGGTTCTATATTGCACATTCTGACATTATTAAAGTTATTATTGCACACACAGATGAGTAAGTAAAGTAAAGCGACAGTGACACATGTGGGTTAGTTAGTTAGTAGGTTCGTTTATTCGGTCATACACATTTTTTTACATTCAAAAATGCCTTAAAATAAAGGACAAGGTTACTAAAACAATTCAGCTTATGTCAGAAATGTACATGCTTTAACATAGATATACAAACGCATTTGTGACCGAAGGGATTAGGCTGAAGTATAACTTATTTTTGCCTAATCCGATTCATAAAGTAAAGTCTCCAAAGTATGGGGCAAAACCCTTTCAAAATAGAAGCCAAACTACTGTAAATATCAAGATCAGGAGAAAAAAAATAAAAAATAAACAATAGGACGGAATGGAACGATTATAGTTTGAGAAAATAGTTAAAACAATTTTCTTTTCAATTTTAACAACAAAAAAGAAACAGCAATAAACTGTCTTAGAAATGTGGGAGAGCTGCCAGAGCTATCTTTCTTGGGCTTGATATATTTCTAAAATATTATGTCTAATGTTATTTTTTAATGTTTTCAATGTGTAGGAGTTTTTAAATGTGTCGTCTAAGTTTTTCCATCGTCTCACTCCTCTGACTGAGACGCATCTGTCACCCAGTTCTTATTAGTTCAACATATTCAGGTCGGCAGTATTCTTTAGTTTAGTTCTCAGTGTTTGTTGTACAGTCTGACAGCAGCAGGGAGGAAAGACGTGCAAAACCTCTCCTTTACACAGCGAGGGTGAATAAGTCCATCATGTGCGACTAAATCTCTAACCCAAACTTTAAACCTATAGCTGTGTGGTTTTACTTCCTGATCGCCAATAGATTGTGTTCTCATCCTGTCAAGCACATTATGAGGATGGATCCCGATTAGGAGATTCATAAATGTATAATAAAGTTGAGGAAACTCGCACTTTTGCTTTGATCTGGCATGTTTACACTTTAGATACAGATGTTCATTAATAACAAATGAATGCATGAAAAGGCCCAGTCACTTAGATAATACTGTATCTGTATCATAGACTGTATATATTAATGGACAGAGTCACGCCTATCTCCGCCGTTCTAACTAATGGGCCAAAAAATGTGCTCTACTGGAGCTATCCAAAATGGCCGTGAGTGGTCCCCCCCACAAGAAAATTGTGAAAAAACGCATCTGCGCATGCGTCAGCCGGCGCAGCTCCATTCATTTGAACGAGAGACTTCAAAAATTCACAGCAAGTAAACTAGAGTGGACCAAAAAAATCCACCCCCCTCAGCATTGACACACATGTGGAACGGAGCTTTGAGCCAAGAGCCAACTTTTGGTCCATCCTGTAAAGACGTTTTTGAGAGGTCTCTAATTCTACTTCTGGGTCCACCCCCATCGGCCTGGGGTGGTATTGCAAGCATGTCAGCGCACGTAATTTTGGCCACTTTTGAGCTGGGACCCTCCCCCACTGATTTGTATCTGCAGTATAGGTTTTTATTTTTATTTTATTTTTATTATTATTATTTTTATTATAATCTGCAGTATATGTAACAGTCGATTCCACCATAGAATTTAACACAGTTGTAGACAAAATAAAAAAATAAAACAAAATCTGTAATTCTTTTGTTTTTTGTGGAAGGAAGACATATTTAAGTGTGTTTATGGTGTTGTTGTTGTTTTGTGTTCTTTCTTTTTTTTTTTCACTGCTCCGTGAGTGCACGTGACAGGACCCGATAGATAGTAAATTGTAAATGGGTTGTCCGACCTGGGTATAGGGGCGAAAGACTAATCGAACCATCTATAGTAGCTTCATTTACTTTAATATTACTAATAATTTTACTACACAATATAAAGATGAATTATCTCTCCATCCAATGTGATTACCTTAGACCCAAATATTTGTTTGCATGTGTTTTTGTTGTTCTGTAAATTCATGAACATTGAGAAAAAACTATTTTGGCACAGTGCATGAAGCTTTCTTTTCGTCTTACTATTTGGGGTAATAAAAACAACATATTCAAACAGGTGAGATTTGTGCAGAAAAATTGATTTCTATTTGATTTAATTGTGAATGACATTGGCTTCAAAGTGCTACGTGTGTTTGAAATGATCCCAATCCCTCTGGAAGTGGAGAAATATATTGTATCCGTCAGAAATCATCACAAACTGCAGATGGGGGTACATTATTATGAGGAGCTATATTGGACTCATAAAGGTGTCATTCTACCAATAAGACCTAAACGGAATCCTTCCTGACAGAGCTCAGAGAGTCACTTCCCAGCATGCTTCACTTCATCTGTACTCCAACTGCGTTCTCCTTTATTTATTCATTCATTTCCACGTGGCCAAGTGCTGTCAGTGTGATGAATGAGAGCTGGATCGGGCCAAGAGTTTTCAACAGACGGGACAAGTCTCACCGCATCAACTGGAATCAAATGCATTGTCAGAAAACAGCGGGTCAATGCAAAGACTGCACATTCATAACAGAACATTTCCATTCATTTTCATTGTTCAAATCCCGGGGAATGTTCGGAAGCAAAGAGGCAATTGAAAAGTCACGTACCAACAGAATAAGTTCAATTCCATTCAGTGTATTAGGGCTCAAGATTCCAAAGTGCTGCATCTGCCCCACCACTGATGAAGAGCACTAAACCTCAGATATTTAAGCCCAATAATGTGAAAGTGATGCAAACGGTTACAGAGAAAGAGAAGTTGACTTTGTGAGGGAATGGGAGAAAGCGAGGTGGAGCGAAGAAGGTCTTCACATTTCTTTAAATTGTCTTTATACAACTTACATTATAACAATCTCTTTACACATATTCAAATTAAAAGAACAATTCAGACATACATATTCTGTATGTATATGTAAAACAATGCAGTACAGTAATAAACAATGCAGACAGGAAGGATTGTATTAAACTGAACTGGTGCTATTCGTTCTTTGTAATGGACCAAACATAAGGCAAGGACAACAGGTGTAAAATCATCTATAATTTAATTCAGGAAAATTACAATTTGACAAAAAAATACAATAAATATTACCAAA